AAGGGAATATCCACCTTAGCGTGACAGTATGTAAGTTCACATGGCTGGCTAATTAGTGGGTGGAATTTGATCGTCATCTGGTGCCCCTCAGCTGTGGCTTTGTGCCAGACTAACTCGAGTTTAGTCAATGAGTAGAAGTCGTTAAGAGTATGTTTTTCTTGGTAGTGCTGGTTTTATTTTAATGGATAGTTGTTTTGACGTTACATTTTATGGCTCCTGAAATAAAATAAAAATAAACCATGGAGCTTTACTTCTTTGAAAGAAACCAGATTGTCTATCCACTCTGAAATAATCAGAGTTGCTCTTGAACTCGGCGTCAAAAATGTTCCTGCTTCTAGATTGAGAATTGGTGTAATCTATGCACGCTCTTGAAGATGAGTGGAAGCTGTTAAAGATATGAGGATACGAAGTTATTTAGGACAGGAAATAGTAGGACCGGTTTTATTTAGAATATGCTGTCAAGAGGAGAACAAAAATGCAATATACGGATGGAGGGGGGGGCATATTAGTTCCTTGCCTACTGAAAGCGAAGGTGACTAAATTACAAGCAGACTAATAAATTACAAACAGACTGAAACAGATGTGAACAACCTGGCAACTTCAATTAACATACATTTTACATGTGATCATTTTTTAAATATATGTGCAGGTAGTGTAACGATTATCGGCGCATAAACAGGAATGGTTCGCCCCCCCCCTTATCTCCTATGTTCACTTTCTCATAAAGGTCCTTTGGAAATGCATGATTTCAATTTTTTTTTTCTCCTATAAGTTAAATAAGCAGGCTAAACAGAACTCTCTAGAACAGTGGTCGGCAACCCCCGGGCCACATCCGGCCCGCGATCGATTTTTGTCCATCCCGCCAACTTAACATGGACACAAATCATTTCTTTCATTTGGGGAGCAAGCGGCAGAGTAAATATCACTTGGATTTAATTGACTTAGAATGCGACGAATTTTGAAAATCAAATGATTTCTACAAGAAATATGTTTTGCCCAAATTGAAAATAAACGCCCATTGAATAATGCGAAAATGATGATATCATTATTTGAAAGCACATATGCTTAGGAATAACTTTTTTTCGAAAATTAAACCTGTTAAAATTGGATTAAGAACAACGTTGTGTGATGACCACCTGGAGAATGTTTTGTTCCTATCATTGACAAATATTTCACCTGATGTTATCGAACAATAGATCAGAAACAAGTGTCTCATTAAATAATTCGCCATTTCTCATAGTATTTGATTTGCGGCAAGGAATTTGCATTTTTTGTTGTTTGGGTTAGTTGTTATCATGTTATTCCTCCAGTAAAATAAGTAACCGTGTTTAAATAATATAACATTAACTTCATTGTTTGTTTGTTTTTTAAATCCCCCAGACCAAGGTGGAGCGGTCAAGACAACTTATTCTAGTACATTTTATATCATGGCCCTCCTCTGAGACACTACATAGCTTTCTGGCCTGTTCTCTCCAAAATGTTGCTGGCCCCTGCTCTCGAATTTAGTGGCAACCAATCTAGAAGGATTACTTTAAATTCAAAGACAACGAAAAAATTGTTCGTCTATCTTTCCAAAGAACTCATAGCAATTCCCATTTAGTAATGAAAAGAAGTTGTGGAGAGCCTTCGTCCTGAAGGGACATGTCATTTTAAATTTCTTTACACCTAGAGTTTTATTTACAAGTAAACCTTAATAATTTCACCACCTTACAAATAAATTTGTATAATCTATGTGATTAATATTCACTAAATAAATTAACGAGGAAAAATATCTGTTTATATTTCTGAGATGAGGTATTGGAACTTTTTACACTATTTACAATGTTCGGACTGCTGTCCTCATCTTTATTCCCATATGCACGACGTTTCGTTTCGCTGAACTAAAACAATCTACATCCGTGGATTAAATAAAGGGTTCGGTTTGAAAATCCAACCTGAAGAAGGTATGTCCGAGTGTTCCGCGTATTCTTTTAGCTATTATCAATGACGGTTTTATTTTTAACTGAATCTATGGATTATTTTATGTATGTATCTAGAGTTATAGGAATCTTTTATTTTCCAAACACTGTCAGAAAAATTAAATAAAAAACTTAACTGCAGTATATTGTAAGTTGTTTTAACGAAACTTGTATAAAAGAGGGATTGCTGCCCAAAGACATAATTTATATATATATATATATATATATATATATATATATATATATATCGCGATTCCTTCACTACTGATTTTTCATATTTTCACATATAATGCTCTTATTGAAATCAATTTAAACGGAAGCGCTTTAATTTTGTAAAATTTGATACCACTTCACCAAAAGGTTTAATTAAGCAATTTCAGATTTAATCTTAATATTCTCGCATTTTTATTTAAAACATATTCCATATAATTGACATTGGCATATGAAAGCAAAAAGTAAGACATTTTTACTGACGCATTAGGTACATTTTTCTGCAAAGTCATTTTTTATAACTACTTGTTTCGTGAATTAACTTGCTTTTTGTAAACCGACTACATCAAAGCACCAGTCCCAAATGATAAAATTAATGCTAACTTCTTTTCAAATAATCTTTCTTTTTCTTTTCTTTTCATTTTTGTAACTACATGAAACAACTGGTGTCTATGTTGCAAGTACTATTTTCCTGGTTGGTCATATTATGCTGCAATTGCATCTGGTCCATTTTGGTGTAGATATTGGTAGTTCTCTGGTTGTATCAAATAACAAAAAACCTCCGTTAAATTAAATCAGAACTTCAGTTCAATATGTGTTGCTCACGAACAACTTGTGTCGACCCAATCATACCTGTTCAAAATCGGCTTCGATCTCTGCTTCCTAAACAAGCTGTGATAAAAGTGCGACTTCGCTCGAGGCTCATCTACTACACGACTATATTTTCCCATTTATACTCTTGACTCTCTGCAGAATCTGTTAGGAGGTGACATCACATTATTAGGAGGTGACAGCGATAATGTCCAACAGTATATATGTTTAAAACAGTGTGATACGCTGTCTATTTACTGCATTTATGCTCCTACATGAAGGGTCATTTTAGGTTTGTTTCTTTATTTTCAAGCTTAATATTTGTACAATTGGATGTTTTTATGCATGTTAAACGATTGTAAATGTTAGAACTACTATGTAACCATGACATATTTGGGAAGGATATTAGAAGAATCCAGAACTTATGCTGAGAGTAAACCGCCTGTATTCGAATAGAAATATACAAAATTAGAAATTGCTGTAAGGCAAAGACTCATTTAACCGATACATTGAAGCGATTCTGAGAGAATTAAATATACTACCAGGATTCACTACTGGTGTTCATTTTCTTAACAACATAAGATATGCAGATGACACAGTGTTAATAGCAAACATAAAAAGGAAACCGCAAGAACTCCTTCAGAAGGCAGCGAATGAAAGCAAGAAGACAGAATGTATGATTGTTAGCAAAAGGAATAGCCCAACATGCAAATTACAAATTGGAGATGCCAAAATCGAACAAGTACAACAATTTAAATATCTGGGAAGTGTTTTAACTGAGGATGAAAATTACGACACTGAAATTCAAAGGCGCATTGGAATAACAAAAGATGCCTTCCAAAAGTAAAGTATAAAGAAACATAAATTTCGTTAGAATCAAAGAAAGTAGTGCTGAACTGTTATGGAATATCAATCCTTCTATGTATCAGTGAATACTGGAAAATCTCCTCGTAGATGAAGAGACTTTCAGCAACAGAAATGTGGTTCTATAGACGACTGCTTAGAATATCATTGGCGGGATATATAAACGCGACGAAGTCTTAAAGAAAATGAGAGCAAAAAGAACATATATACTTAATACCAGATAGAGACAGTTTACATTTATAGTGAACATAATAAGGACAGAGGATTTGGAAAATGTGATACTCGCAGAATAGATTGAAGGTAAAGCATAACCTACCTGGCGAGCTTGAGTAATTGCATGAGTAAATCCAAGGTTTAGAAGCGATAACAAAAAGATAAAATTCATTAAGGGCTACAAAAGACAGGAAATTGTGGAGAGACATGATCGCCAACGTTCTGAAGGTGCACGGCACATAAAAAAAGAAACCATTTAACATATATTTATAGTGACAGTTTAACATAAGCTTGCATATCAATGATAGCATTCGTAGGTGTTAAATCTGACCTACATTAGAGAATATAAGTATCCAATCTTCTATATCTTTTTTCTACTTCTTTGGACCGTGTCCCTTCATGGCGTGAGTGATCATGGATCTCCACAACATCCTAGCCTATGTTCCTCTAAGCATTTTTTGTTTTTACTATCTCTCCCACTTCTGGTCTCGCTATCCATTTATTCAAGCTCTTTATGCAGGTAACACTTTGTTTACCTCTGGCCTTCAATATGTCCTCTGAGTGTCAATTTTTAAAGCCTTCTTTCCTCCTTATGTTCTGCTTTCTTTTGTCCCTCTTGGTTTCATCGTGTTCTGTGAGTGTCAAATTTTTCAAGCCTTCTTTTCTGATTATGTCTCTTAGAAATTTCAATTGCCTTCCTGATTTTATGAATAAGCGTCCTTTTTGTTTCCATTTTCCTTAGAACTTCCTTGTTACATACATATTCCGACCATGGCATTCTTAGTATCCTTCTGTAGAACCGCATCTCTGGTGTCTCAGCATTCATTTTCATATATTAACATTGTATTATATAGCTATTAAGAACTCTTTTCTCTGTTTTTGACGAAATTCCGCTGTTTATTAATACTTTTCTGTTGGTATTTTCGACCCTTCTTCAGGGTATATATTCTTAAATTTATTCAAATTATTAGCCTGACGAATATGAACACCTATTTTCCATCGGTTTTACGTCAGACGATCTATTTGATTAATTCGGTTGATTTTCTTCTTTCCAAATTACAATTAAATTGCTTGAGCGGTATATTTTGGATGGTTGTTCTGCGAAAACACCCAACGGAACTTCATTCTTAAGGCCTTCATTGATGTAAAGAAATGCTTGTTCAATATATCACCAGTTCTCGTACGATCACCAGAGTTAAGCAACGGCGAGCCTGGTCAGTACCTAAATAGGTGATAACTTGGGAGTACCAGGTGTTGTAAGCTAGGATGGACAGGTGTTGTAATGGATGACGGCTCGGAATGGGAGATCAGAGTTGCAATTCCATCCGGGTTCGTTATGTTCACTGATGCGGAAATACCCTTGGGTAAGGTTCCACTTCTTCTTTCCACCCAGCTGTGGCTTGTTGTCATTATTATCCCCCAAAATTATTATCTCCCAAAATTATTATCTCCCAAAATTATTATCCCCCAAAATTATTATCCCCCAAAATTATTATCTCCCAAAATTATTATCTCCCAAAATTATTATCCCCCAAAATTATTATCCCCCAAAATTATTATCTTCCAAAATTATTATCCCCCAAAATTATTATCTCCCAAAATTATTATCCCCCAAAATTATTATCCCCCAAAATTATTATCTCCCAAAATTATTATCCCCCAAAAATCTACAATCTAATCTACAATTTAATCTTACAATCTCAAAATGTTTTATGGCTTTAAATAACCAACAAAATGTTTGTAAGCCGTAAAATCATGTCCGTATTCATTATTTGGTTATGTGATACCGTTCTGAAATATGTGATTAAACACAGTCCCGTGTCGTTACATCGTCCGTGTTTCACAGCTGGGATGGTGTTCTCTGGTTTTAGCTCTTCGTTTTTGTTTTGGTTTTTTTTTTTTTTTTTCTCTAAATTTGATATGAATTGATGCCAGATAGCCTTATCTCGATCACATTGAACAAATAATATTATTTCAATTGGTGTCTGATTTAAATAGATGCTTCTCAGCAAACTTCAGTCGCGTCTCCAAGTCTGAATTCTTCAAAAGAAGTACTTTTCATGCTCGACAAGATTACAAGTCATGCAGGTTAAGTGCGTTGCTGACAGCTTGAGGCGTAGATTTAGACCCTGACGTGTGGAGATCTACCAACTCATCGAGTAACATATTTAGCTAATTCTTTACAATTCTTACAACCCCGCTTGCAGCACGGCTGGAAATCCTTCGAGCGGCATTAGATCGGAAACAGTTCACTGTCGAGTCATGTTCCTTCCACTATTACGCCATTACGCGAACTATTGAAATCAACGGTGCACGGATGAAATTGTAACTCTTTACGATAACGACTACGGTAGCTCTGAGGTCTGTATAATGTGCCATAGTTTTTAGCATTATGGCTATTACTGCGACAGTAGTTGACAGTCAATAGATACACCATACCGTCCTCCCAAGAATGTTTAATACTACTCAGAACGTTCCAGAATAACCTAGAAATGTTTAGATCCAGACACCTAGAAATTTCCATTCTCTAGCATGGCAGAACAGGGTTTAGGAGAAATAGCAGGAAGACATTTTTCAAGAGCTACATGGTGCAGGAAGTTATGGAGAGCTATGACCGCCTACGTCCTGAGGGGGAACGACACACAAAGAAGATATAACTTTCCTGTTCTTGCATTGAAAAGATGCTAGTAAGATCAGTAAATTATAGATATAATAACCTGCGAGAAATGGGGACATACTTTTTTGACGGTGATGAACTTACGAGCCTATAATCATTAAGTTTATATTATTCTTATATATTATTTTTATTACTCTCTCTCTCTTTCTCGCGCCCTAATCATCTCTCGTAGAGCCCTAGTGATCTCTCATAGAGTACTAGTAATCACTCGTAGAGCACTAGGGTTCTTGGGAACTGTTATGACAATCTAATCTCGTGCATAAGCATTAATTTGTATAGATGTAACGAATGAAAGGCTTATCGGAAACTCGTACTTTATACAGTGTTCCGGAATCGAAGAACGGTTACTCTCAGTTGTACACATGATCGAATTAGGGCAAACTACGTAATCGAATTACAACGCAATTACGTACTTTGTGTGATATAAGTATATTATACAAAATATTATATACTAAGTAATTTTGCTTTCTAGGCGAAACTTATGATCACGAAGTTTTCGGTGTGACACACGAGCATTGAGTGTATTTTTTTAATTTTAAGTTTATTTTGTGTTCGTTTCATCTTTTCTATAACTTTTGTATTTGGGAGTATTATTTACATTCTATTTGATAAGCACCTACTTCAGATGTAAAATTTAATTTTTACATAGGTTATTATTTTAACTACTTTTAACTGCTTTTATCAGCCTTATGTTGATATTAGTTAAAAAATCGTTCAAGTTCATTAGTTTGGCAGTTTACACTTTACTTGGCGGTATCTTTGAGTGATATTCTGTTAATCGTAACTATGTTTTGTCTTCATAGTTACGATTCCTGTGTATCTGTTATCACCTTTTTTATGTATCTATTCATCCGTTCATCAACTTCGTTCTCATTGTCTATTTAACAATCTATTGATTATTTTCTTTCGTCCGTCAATGTATCCGTATCTCTCTGAAGTACACTCAAATCAGACTGATTACTTCTTAACATTGATATAAATTTTGCGTCTGCACCGATGAGTCATAAAATATTACTTTGAGATGAGTCATACTAAAGTGCTTATTTTCATAAAGCTGTTCTCTTTGAAAGAATTAATTACATTTATTCGCATGTTCCAAAATGAATTACACGTGTTTCAGTAAAGCACTTTTTCAATATGTCTACATATCACTCCTAAATGAATGAATTTGTTTTTTTGAAATATATAACTGATCTAGTATGGAAATTATATGGTTTCAGTACAGTCGAGCACAATTTAACGACATAAAGGCTGGAGAGTGTGGTCTGGGCAGCTCCCGCACAAATATGACAACAGTACTCCCTTTTTTTGGCCTGATTTGGCTCTTGTAAAGTTAGAGTATATCAAGAGGAGTCGGGTACTTTCTGGAGCAGCAAAGAGAGCCAACCATTTTACCTACATCCTTAGTAATGGATCGTATGTACGAGTTCCACTTGAGGTCGGGTGTGAATTTGAAGCCCAACAGTCTTACAAGGCATGGTGCTTCCTCAAGAGAACCTTCATTCTTTCTAACTGTCAGTGTCAGATCAGTGATGATGATGGAATGTAACTAGCTTGGTCTAGGAGACATTGATTGCCCCCATCCAGTTGGATAGTTTGTGCAATATCGGAAGAGAGATGGAGGAACGGATTGAGGAATCAGTAGAGCCGAGTTCGAATTCCTTGTATCTATCTCTTCTACCCCTCCAAGCTATGGGTAAATAGCAGGACAGACTGGGTTGTAAAGCTTTGGGAGGGAACCGGTCTAGGAAAAGGAAAACTCTAAGAGAAGGAAAGCTGTCCTAGTTTGGGTCATCAACGATTCTCGATTGATTACTTTAAAAAATTGTACATAGTAGTAAAATTATCGTTAGTTTTTCATAATTTTTAAATAAAGAACACTCATAAATGGGGGAAACAAATATTCGTACACATACAAATTTTTAATGTTGTTGTATTTCTAACTAATGAATAAACAAACTTTTCATATAATTAACTGTACACATAATTATAATAACTAAATATGCATAAAAAACAGAAAAAATCATTTAATATAAATAAATTCCATTTCATTTTAATGGGTGAAAAAAGTATTCGTACAATACAAATTTCAGATTTTAAAACTTTTAAATTGCTTAAATACTCTAGATTATTCAAGTGGAATATTCTAGAATGTTCCAATGATGTTATCAGTAGTTATTTTTAGCCTAAAAAAATACAAACAGGACATGCAAGAAGGTTATCATCATGGCAAGATGTAAAGAAATGACAATTTCGTAAAAAGAACAGATTATTAAGCTATAGAAAGGTAAAAGTTACAGAAAAATCTCAAACGACCTGAATATTCCATTTACTACCATTTCAAGGTAGAAAAGACTCAAAACTGTTAAAAACCAAAGAAGAACAGGTGCTCCACGGAAGATTTCATCAAGATCTTTGAGGAAATTAATGCGTCAAATGAAACAAAATCCAATGGTTATTCGTCGAGATATGCAGGATGATTTTCTTTCATCAGGAATGTGTCAGTAAACGGAAAATAAGCAATGAAATTCATAGGAACAACCTGAAGTCACGCTACTTTCGGAAAACTCTACTGCTATTGAAAAGACACAGGAGTGCCAGGTTGAAATTAGTTCGTGAATATAAAGATAAGGAAAATTCGTATTGGGAAAGAGTATTATAGACAGATGAAACCAAAAGTGAGTTTTTTTAATGTAATTCTAGAAATCACGTATGGAGGAAAGATGGTGATGCCTTCAAATAAAAGAACACAGTTGCAATAGTGAAATTTGGTGGCGGCAGAATCATGGTTTGGGGATGTTTTCTGCCAAAGGTACTGGCAGCATATCAGTAATAGAGGGTAAAATGAATGCTTCAGTTGTAAATCTTGAACTTCCTCCTGATTGAATCTTCCAAGAAGATAATGATCCTAAGCACACTGCAAAATCTACGAAGAAATGGCTTCCTGAAAATAATATAAATATACTGAAATTGCGAAGAAGAACGGAAGAAAATACCAACTAAAATTTGTATGTGTACGAATATTTGTTTCCGCCCACTATATACTTCAGGTTAACTAAAAGCCAAGGTAACTTATGGAGGATGCTAATTGGGAAATGCTATTAGATATTTAATGTCTAATAAACGAGAATAAATGTTTTTATTGTTGTTGTTTTTTATAATATAATTATTATTTATATTGTTTTAAGTTTGAGAAATGAATTTATGTATTATATATTTTAAATAATAGTCAATATTTTAATTTTTCAGATATCGTTTTTTTTTATCTTTTCACCCCAAGCAAGGCGGGAGTACCATTAGCACGCAAGGGGTTATAGAAAGTGGGAGCAAAAGTAAAGAGGCGTGAAAGAGGAAAGGATGAAGAAAATGACGGGGAATGGGTCAAGGCATCTGGAGATATCGATTGACATTGCATTTGAATAGTCGGAGATTATAGATATCAGGGAAGCAAGTAAGAGGAAGAGAATTCCACAGACGGGAAGTGTGAGAAAAGAAGCTGTTGGAGTAGAAGAGACGGCTACATTTAACCGTTTCGACAGTGAAAGAGTGAGACTGAGATACCGACCTTGTGGCACGTTTAAATT